GCAAACTTCTGTAAATGACCACTGGCACTGTACCTTGAGCAACACTCGGTTTTCTGGGACTCACTGGCAGACGACAGCACGCGATGAGGACATCGATCTTGAGTCCGGGGAGTATGTGCCAGTCAGTCATATTTGGAAGTTTGACCTTGAGAAAAACAAGAACGCTTAATTTTGGAGTGAAATTTGATTTTTCAAAAATTCGAATGGAGCCTGTCATGCACGATTTTCTCGCGATAACTGAAAACCGAAAAAGAGAAATCAGAACGATCGAGTGACAATCGCGGGAAAGTTGCCAGATAAAGCGGTAGGAAATTGCCATTCGCAATTTCGGTCACAATAAAACTAGAGTAGAGCTGTCCTATCTGAAACAGAAGGAAGCGTATTCCCGAGAATTGGACTATTATTACTCGACTGGATTATCATTCAAACTGGACTAGAGTGAACCTTCGATGGAAAGGTGGACAGCTTGAGTGTCTTCAATGGTTCACGAGAAACTATACTCTAGAGTTCAAACTTGTTCCTGTTATTGAAACTAACAAACATTAAACTCATTTAGTTACATTATTTAATTCTCGAGTGCTTTACTAACTTAATTACTCCCAGTTCTTGAGCGTGCTACGATGTGAGTACCCAATTTAAATTTCTAGAGTGTGTTTTATGATTTTTATGTTGAGGTAAGGCGAGTTTTAGGTTGATCCATCTGAAATGGATCAAAGTTCCACTGTCTGATAAAAAAGTAACTTAACGGATTGTTCTGACCCGGTTTTTAACGGCGTTCATGTATTTTGGGTATCTAGAGACCTAAGTATGGGGACGTTCTTATTTCTTGAGTGGGGGGGATATTTTGGTAGTAGCCTTTAAGCTGTAACGGGTCGTAGTCTCATGTCACAAGCGAACCGAACTGGCTCCGACTGATTTGAGGTAGAAAAACACAAGAGATAGTGTCCCTGACTCTTGAGCCAATGGTTATAGGGCCTATTTTTCTTAAGCCTCATGTGTGACTACAGTAGACGAATGTTACATAAGTGCGAAATGAACCAATCAAAACTAATATACTCAAGTTTAAAATCAAAATTTTTGTACTAAGAGTTTTAAAAACACCAAGTTTGAAAACACCAATACTGAGTCGAGTTCAAATTAATTTTCAATAATTTCGCATTCTCTTGTTCATTTTTTTCTCTAAATTTTGAGTTCAAAAACTAACTGCAAATCAGTGTTGCGAAAATAATTTTTGTGAAACCCTATTGTAAAGGAGCCTATGTGTACTTATTTTATGTTATTACGTAATGAACTATTAGTGCCAAGATCATTGCTAGAGTTAGCGTGTCATCGCGTACTTTCATTGGCGACAACGTTTAGTTAAACTTAAATTGTTTCTTTTACGTCTTATCATACCATGCGACAACGTCTTACCATACCATGCGACAACGTGGTTCCTTTCTGATGGCGCAGCTAGCAAAAAAATCGAACTATTGCGGCCTGTGAAGATTGGGCCCAACGGTTCCAATTGGTAGTAATCGCAAAACAGGAGATAGATATGGAGGATCTAATGGCGGAAAAAGTTCTCTCAGAAAATGTCTACCCTACTCTGGAAAAACCAATAGGAACTGGAGACAACACGGCAATAGAAGGGAACACTGGAATAACGCAGCTATTGCAGCGTGGAGAGACGAAGAGAACCGTCGGACAGAGCACAGAGGACGAGAGAAGCGTATTTTAAAAGATACCTGGGGTGAAGCTGATAGGATGTTGAAATCAAAACTTTTTCTATCACTAGAGAAACACGGCCAACGAAATTTTTATCAGAAACATCCGAAACAAAAGATTGTAGAGATAGATTTCACTGAGCTATGGAAGCTAGTGTTTGATACACTCTTTAGAGAGCCATATGTTACAAATCGACGATTCATACCGTTTAGTGGGAAGCAAAAAAAAATGAAACAAATTTTTGAAGCGTTGAGTACTTTGACCCGAGGGTGTGATTTCGTTCATAAGAAGAGTCCATTGCCGAGATGTATTCATAATTATAATGAGGAATGATGATCCTCGTAAACATCTGTGTATGGAAACACTAAAGCCGGGGACACCTTGCACTTTTCAGTGGCGACGGAGAGAGGTGAGGTATTATACAAACGAGTAAACCAAGGGCTCCCAAAATTAGTTAGGAACAGTTTCAAGGAGAGTTGGCTAAACTCGACAATTGGTCAACAAACTGGTAATAATAAAAAAGAGAACCAGTGAACAAAAACAAGGGTCACCATGGAGATAAAAGTCACATTTGTGGGAACTGGTTGAAACCTAACCAGCGGGACAATTGCCCATCTCGAAATGTTTTTTGGAACAGTTGCGGACGTCGAGGAAACTTGGCAAAATTTTTGAAGAAAACGGGGCTCAACCATGTCGAGTGGACTTATGACTTTACCCAGTCTTGTGACGGAGAGGACAATGAAGAATTGGGAGCACTCGCAGTCCGCACAGTGTATGAAAAGGCAGGAATTGAAAAACGAACTATATACAAACTATATTGGATGTCAGAGTGGGGAAAAGCCAGATAAATTGAGCAAGCACACTCTCTTTCATCTCACAATGAAAGTTACACGAGCTAAAGATAAGAGGTAGATATTTAGCAGTACAATCACTGCCAGTTGAGATACGGAACGTTTTTTAAAACGTTGTTAAGATCATTAGACAAGTTTTTGTAGTTACCGATTCTGAAAATTGGATCGCCAAGGGTACTGAACTATTTATTACCAAAGGAGGACAAAAACCATAATCGGAAACAGAATCTTACCACTCCTCGGCATTAAAATGATACAGAAGTCAGGGACGCGGACAGTAAACGACGCTAATGGGACGGAGACGAAACACATGTCTGATGCTCACCAGAACTACGTAAGTACATTAAAAGTGTTTTGAGGAAGTTTCAAGGTCTATTCGAACAAAAAAGTGCACTTAAAAATTGCGAGATCGGAACGCACTTCTACGAACCGTTTCCACCGGTCCAGTTACAAAAAGGGGTTCCGATCTACGTTTTGGCGAAGGTTGAAGCAACTATAAAAAATTTGTTGAAGGAAGCACACATCAAAAAATTGAGCAAGTGTACTGAGGATTACTTTATCCTACCAACGGTTGTTACAGCTAAACGCCGCGGAAGAGTAAAATTGGCATTGAATTCGAAACCCGTCAATAGGCAAGTATATCAGAGTCGGTATCAAATGCCAAACATGAATCAACTACTGGATAATTTTGCATTAGCGATTAGTGATAGTACATCTGACCCATTCTGGTTCTCGAAAATACGCATATTCGACATTGCTGTTAAGTGAGAAAACTAGAAGGCAGTGCAGTTTCAGCATTGTTGGGTTACCTTAACAGGGACATATCGCTTTATGACGGAGTTTTAAGGATAATGTGATATGCTACTGAACTCGGAAGGGTCGTGGATTCAATGCTAGGCCACTTATTGTGGGTGCACGTGTATTGCTCATTGCGACCAGAGTTTCAAGGGAACGCCCTTTGGAGGGAAGTTAGAATTATCTGAAAAGAATACCTCTGCAAAAAGGAGTAAAAGCACTTTTTCGCAAAAGAATGTACTTTTTTTTGTTTTTTTTTGGTTGGGTTTCCAATTTTCTAATGAAATCAGAGCTTCCGGTTCCAGTTGGTTGAAAAATTCACGTTATTACTTAAATGAAAAAACCCAAAAACATAAACGATGTTAGATTCTTGATGGGGTCAATCTCTCTTTTTATTTGATTTATTCATAATTTAGGCGCTACTACAGGACCGACACATAATAGAGCGTTTGAAAAAAATGAAACGATTTTCTTCCGAATCATCAATTTGATGTGAACAAAATTAAGCGAGTGAATTTTTAGTACGCGTGTTAGTACGCGTGTTAGTACGCGAATGGATTTTTAGCGATTTTGTTCAGTATCATCATTTTGATGTGAATAAAAGTACGCGAGTGGAATGTGACGCATCAAAACAGGGCTTGGGGCGGCCGTTGGAAAATTACACGCCGAGGATTGGAAACCAGTATCATACGCATTGACATCTTTAGGAAAGGCAGAATTGAAATTTTGCAAAAATGAATCGGAATTGTTAGCAGTCGTTTGAGCGGTAACTCACAATCAAAACTATTTGTTTGGGCCCCATTTAAAATCAGTAAACCGTTTTATTGTGTTTGTCAGAGGATAAATTACAAAAACTACACAGCTCGATTACTAAGATGGGTTTTCCTTTTGTTACCATTTGACTACGAAATAGCGCCCATTCTAGGCAAGAATATGGGGCTCGTAGATTACGATTTGGTCGTTTACGATTTGGTCGTATACAATTGGTTTTCTGCGGGCTTGCTAATGCAACAGTTTGCAAATTTTTTCTCTATGACATATACAAAAAGAAAATTACTTTCCAATGATTCTTGAAAAGATCACAACTTTGTTTTTTGAATTATTGCAGTCTTAATCAACCAAAAAAAAACTCTCCATTCTATTCCTTGTTTCATTTTGTGTTATCTAAACTCTCAATGTCCAGGTTAAATAGTTTTGTAACTTTCCGTCTTCGCACAATCTCATTTTTGAAAGTAATTTTATGTCGAAAAAAAGATTGGCATGGTTTTGCAATCATTTAATGACGCCATAATCAAACGAAAGAATATCCAGGGCACCTCCTCGAAAACATTAAGGCTCTTGATTGACTATGTGTGGTGGTATTATCTATGCATTGTTTGTTGAGTTGTAACCACACAAAAATCAAACTCCCAAGAAAACATTAGTATATCGAATCTCACAGTATTGTTTTTGAAATAAAGAATAAACAAAAGATTCTTGGTTAACAAAAATTGTCTTTCTTTTTCTTATGACGCGCTAACAGCATGAGACAAAATAAGTCAAAAGTGTTGATAGCTTGGTCAGATTTGACGCTTTTTCTGTTAGCGAACAGTGAGTGCTTCAGCATCTCTTATATTTTTAATTGTCATTTAAAAAAGCAATTATAAATAAGACTTGTTTTCACTTCAAACCACTGTTCCAAAACTAATCATGGTCTAAAATTTGGCTATTTGAATAAAAGTTTTGATTGAATAAAACAAAATAATTTTCTTATTAGGTTATAAAAACACAAGGTGAGAGATGTTTTCTTAACTGCTGCAGTTTCAAAATCAATTATGAGCATGTAACCCATTTGAAAATTCGAGAGGGAAAGCTGATAGGTTTTTGCAGATGCCGAAAAAATGACCTGTTGGTTGCCAGTTGTGGTCGGCTTCGTTGCCCTGTTGTCGACGTGGTTGGGGAGTGTGTGCTGTTCTGCGGAGGGCGGAGGAGTGTGGTTCTGCTCCTCCGACTTCGACTGTGCCTGGAATGCGAGGCTGTTCGGGCCCGAGTATAACGAGAGAGACTACTCCGACTACACTAAGTGCTGTTCTGACAACCAGTGTCACAAGACCTGCGAATGGTATCATGATATTACATCCAGTTTCTACGTCAAAAAGCATCAAATCAGATGCCCCGAAGACCTTAAAAATTAGCGTAATTTACATAATAACAATACGTTTTTGGCGCCAAATTCAAAAACATCTTCACAGTTCGCCTAGAAAACGCAATTTTTGTTTTTGCTCGGAAATATCAAAATTACTGGTTTGAGAAGAGATCTACTAAGTTTTTGAACAACCAACCCCGACAAAATAATTCGGTGCGTGCCACTGCACCTTCAAAAAATGTATTGATTGCATTGCAGGCATCTTGTGGTGTTCCTGCTGGTGTTCGTGGGGCTTCCGATGGGGCAGTGTGTGTGCACAGTCGCAATCATGGGCGTGGTTGTCTACTGTGCCGTCAAAATGGGTAAACAAGTGTTTCAACTAGGAGACTGTGACAGTATAACAATTTTTTATTCTGTTTCTTTTTCCTATCCACTTCTTGAACATCTGTAGTAGTTTCCAGTAAAATCAACAATCAATTTTTTTTAGGTTGGTTCAAATGTTTTGTATTTTTTGTCCTATATTTTCATATTTCTGAAGCTATCTAATTTTGATATTGAATTCACAAAAGACACTAAAAAAACTACTCCAATATGAACTAATAAGAATCACATGAATTTGCTTTACTAGCTTACAAAAACAACCGCACCGTGCCCCCACCACCACCACCCACCTCACAGCAGTCGCACTCTCCTCGGGGGAGTCTGCCGGACTACCAGCAGAGTCTGAGAGCCCCCCGCATCCTCATGTCCCCCGTAGAGGCGGATGACTCACATGACTCACAAGCACCCCCTAGACCCCAGAAGCCGAGCCGAGCTATGTTCGGGTTCGTCCAACAGTGATCGTGAAATGAACCCGTCATCTGTACATGTGAAATGCGAAGACGATGTAGAAATACTGGAAAGATTCCAATAATAAACTACTCTGATGAATTAATTCTGAATCACTCTTTTGTATTGAAAAATTTTTTCTATCTCACTATGATTTTGAATATCAAAAAATGAGTTTATAACTTAGCTAAAAGTTGACAGCACAATTGACTGCATAGTTTGACTGATTTTTCCACGGCTCACAAGAGACGCAATGGGGCTCAAGACTGAATTTGTAATGCGTCTCCAATTTTACGAGCAAAGGTTTGAATATAATTACAGCCCTCGTAACAATGTCTTTCAACTGAGAAAACGGGCCTCGTTCGTCGATTAGCAAAAAATTGGCTGGACATCATGTCTCGAGTCGTGAATAAATTGTCTTGGATTGAGGCTCGAAAAGGTCTTCCAGGTCGCCGTCTGCGATTTGAAACAAGAAAATGAGACCAACGCGAGCCAATTTTGGCAATTTCAGATCGGTGCAACCAATATTACTGATACTAGAACAGCGCGACCATAAACTAAAAAAGTTGGTCGACCAACGCGAATTGAAAAAATGTCAAAAGCGGCGCAATCAACTGTATCAAAACTTGAGGGCTAGACGTTGGCAACTACGAAAAAAAAATGTCCCGATTAGTGCGAATCTTTAAAAGAAACGTCCGCAAGAACTATCGGGACTCAAGAAACGGGTGTCATGTGCGTGAATTAACGAACTGGCGTCACTGGTGGGACTCAAGGAACTGGCGATTCCGGTGAGACAAACTTGGTCAATATCATACCACCGCAGGTGTGAAAACTTTTCGCAATTGGCTCGATTGAAAGAATTATGTTGCGATATTGAGATAATTAAATTGAGATAATTTGCAACAAACTAAGACCCGTAATCGCCCGCTTAATGCTAAGTAAGTTTCCGTTAATTAAGTTTTGTTTTAAAAAGTTATTGCGGAAACATACGAGATTTTTTGTTCATCTAACACCAAAAATTGAGCGCAAAATCTTGATTCCATTAGCTAACGAATCGCTCGCAATCGATACGTTTTCGATCTGATTTCTACATCTGTTTTTTAAATGATGCAAATCAGTACAATCAAGCGCGGAAAACAATTTTTGATCTTTAGAGGTGAAATCTTTATTGAAGTTTGATTTAACGAAAAAGCACTGGACTAAAAACTTAAAGATTTTCAAAAAAAATTTGCAAAATAAAAGTACTTTTAAGTCACTTTTTGTTTTTGGAAAAAAAACTGGTTTTTTTATTTGCAGAAATGCCTCATAAACAAGAACATAAAAATTGTGGTCTACACTTTTCTTTATTTTTTCTCTTTGTTTAAGCAAAGGGGAAACAACCATGCTTAGCTGTTGAAACTTGTGTTACGCAGAAACAATTTTGGACAATCAGATGAAAAACAATCGATTTGTTTGCAAGGTCTGGGGGCGCAAAATCTGGTTTTTCCAAATAAATTTATTGTCTGAAGTAAACCAGCAGGCACAAAACACTCAAAATTATCCCAACTTATCCATCAAATAGTAATGAGTAATTTCTAAGGAATGCGTAGCAAATGTGCCCAAACTTCCCTTGGTGTCTAGAGCGATTTAACACGAAAGAAGCCTTGAATTTGCGTCAAAGTCCAGGGGGGATATCACCATTCCCATAAAACTTCAGCAAATTTTTGAGCGATACACAACATGACAGCTGATGCCGTATTTTAAAAAGGCTCCTTGCTACTTTTATCAAGTAAACACTGTGCATGCTGTTGAAAACAACTGCTTCTTCCCAAAAGTTTAATTTTTATTGCAGCGCAAAACTCAACAGAAAGACCAAAAAGAATTTCGTGCGTTGCATGAACTGAACCAATTATTATAGTGTGGTAAATGATTTCGTCAAAAAGGCAGCATTTTCGGCTTTCATCTCGGATTTCCCCACAACGTCCTAAAACTGTCACCAGAATCTCTGTACGCCACAATAAATGAAAATGAGCAGTTCAAGCCGTAAGTTGTTGATTTTTAAATAAAACGCAGCTGGGAAGTATATGCGTAAATTTTACCAAAACAAATCCAGATTTTAAGCCGGCTATTTAAAATCAGTTATAAAAGCGCTAAAAGCTAACTAAAAACAGATAATTTGGTCGAGGATGGCATAAAGATTTCAAATGAAGAATGAGTGAAGCTCAACACACAGTATCAAGATTGATTCAGCAAAGAAGGAGGTATGATAAAAAATTGCTTGACTATTTGAGCCAAGTCCTATGTATGTCCTAAAGAGGAACTAATGCATCAAAGATGCCAGCAATGTTTCAAGTTTATCAAAATAAGGATCTAATCTCGCAGCTGGATGATCTTGCTGTTAACTTTGAACTGTTGCAACTTATCATTTCAAAGAGTTTTGGATGCCTGAAAAGCTTTTATAATTACCGCTGCTCGTTTCTTATTTAGATTAAAGGAAATCATAATTTTGTATAGTAAAGTTGTATACGAATTAGCTCCTTTTGCGAGTTGCTTTTTTGAAAAAAAAACTGCTTGTATTTAAAACTAGATGCCAAAAAGTTAGATGCCGAAAAGTGACCTTTAAAATGATTGGAAAAAAACAAAGAGTTTGAAATTTCTTAACTTCTTTGTCACTACAAAACAATTTTTGAGCAGAAGCTCAACACGCAAAAAGTTTTTCATGCAATAAAGCGTAAACTCTTAACCTTTCCGCTAAAATTGTGACAATTTTTGATTGCAACATTTAACAGTCTATTTTTATGGGCCGTTTCCAGTTCATGAATGGTTTCCAGTTCATGCATGGGACAAAACTTTGAATCAGAACTGGCGATTTTAAATTATTTGATTTTTTTGAACTGAACAATTTGGTCTCAATAGTAAATTATAATTAGAATTTAATAAAATTTATGAAATCTAGCGCAGAACAGGCTAGCGTAGTCTGAGAAGATTAGTTTGGATGCACCTGCAAAAACTCCAGGTGTAACTTATTAAGTCTAATATACTCAGGAAACCTATAAGAAAAAACAAGAGCAAAACTCCAACATTTTTTTTTCTATATCTATACTGCTTCCGATATAAGACTTATACCTTTAAGACTGAAAACAATCTGTGACTTTAAACAAAATGTGTTCGACTGCAGTCTTTTCCCTTCTGCTTTGTTTCTTTATGCTTCTGTTTCTGCCGATGAGTTTGTCGGCTGACTGGCCGTGCAACTATGACTCAGAGTGTAGCTGGTACTCCACATGGAAAAGCAATGACGAAGATTCCTGTTGTGTGGATGGATACTGCCATGCTGACTGCACCGGGTAACGGCACTCCTTTTTCTTAAACCTTTCACCCTTATTCTTTTATGAACCTGATCCCCCTCCCCTCTGGCGAAAGGAAATATGGCTAAAGATTGCTTTAGGAACAAAGTGAGTTATCATATTACATAATAAAACCTATTCAACCAGAGGCCGATTTAGGGGAGACAGGGGAAGAGTGCCTCTCCTTCAGTGATTCCACCCCGCGTCCGGCTCCACTCACCTAAAATCTTAGAGCAGGAGTTTTTTGAAAAAAAAACCGGCTTATAACTCCACTCTGACTTTCATTCTGTTAAGAATTCATCATTTGATTTTGAAATCAATACAGTTTTCAAACCTCGCAAAGATGAACAGAGCTTTTTATGGTCGGCTCAGAAATAGCCCATGTTTTGCTCGCTTCCTTTTTTCGCTGTCCTGAAGATTAGTCAATTGCAATGTAAAATAATTAGGGTTGGCTCACCAAATCGTATGCTGTAAAACACTACTAAATGAGGGTACCATTTGGATAGTCAATGGTTGGAAACACTGAAGGAGAATCACTGTCTCCCCTAAATCGGCCTCTGGTTGAATAGGTTTTATTTTGTTATATGATAACTCACTTGCTCCTAAAACAATCATTAGCCATATTTATCCTTTCCCTTCTGTGAGCTGGTCGGAACCTTAAGATTCTCAACTTGTTGAATTTCCAACTTGGGCTCATTTAACAATGAGAGAGGGACGTATCATCGTGGTGAGTGTTCACATCGAGCGCATCAGATTGTGTGATCGATCCCATGGGATGGCATTGACACTGAGTAAGGACGAGCTCTCACTTGACCTCATGGGCTGCCTCACCACGACCAGTTTTGACTGCAATAGTTTTACTTGAAAAGGAGTCGCAAAAGATTAGCTTCACTCTACCAAATAACTTAGTCCCAAATGTGGGAAATAAGAGAAACTGACTATCCTCAGAAAAGCTGGATAATCGAAGAAACCAGAATGCTCTTTTACTCCTTTTTAAAAGAAAATATTGTGTAAAATTGGAGTATATTACTCCAGCTGGGATTCTATTCAAAGTGCCACCAGGCAACTTATGATTTTCTGAATTTGAAACGTTTTTTATGCAAAACTAAATGCAAAACTAAATTTTTTTTAGTGTTGTCCTAATCTCCAATCAAAAAGGATTGTCGTCTTAACAGTTGTTTGCCGCACACGCGATTCCTAAATAATCAAAGATAAATTCAGCTCTGAAAGTGACGTTTTGGTCATAAAAAAACTAAGAAAAACCTTCAATAAAACAATATTTCGTCCTTACGGTAGGCATTATAATAATAATAAATTGTTTCCAAACGATATCTAGTTACAAAGTTATTTACAAAAAGACAAATAACAAATACAAAAAAGAATCGTTTGGGAGAACACCATTAAGCCAACAAGGCCCGTTTTCAGGTGTCTCATTAAGCGGAGAACAAAAAAAATACTTAAATTCTTTAATCCAATGCAATGGATTTTCTACCGGTAACCATTTTTTAAACGTAAAACCTCTTTATTCGCACTTTTAAACCATTCTCTATAAAAAAATTAATTTAGTTTTCTCAGGTAGTCTTTTCTACCCATAACTTAGAAACCAACAGAAATAAGTTCTACTTATTGATCAATAAAAAGTCTCAAAGCATGCCCAGTAAAATCGTATTTCCTAGAATGTAATTATCCAAAAATTTATGATTAAAACTAATTAATTGAAACCGAGAAACACTTTCAAGAAATTGACCCAGGTGGGAAAAAATATATTACAAAGTTGATTATTTTTCTAATTTTA